AAATGTGTGTACACAGAACCAGAACAATCAGAGAACGAGAATCAGAGAACCAGAGAACGAGGCAGGCCACGTACATCTCATCTGTCATCATCACTATTCTAAAGGCAGTCAGTCTCTTGAAAGTATAAAATCTTTGCTTATAAATTTAACTCTGAAAATAAAGCCAATAGTTACTTGATAAAAATGAAAAGTAACTGAAAAAGTCTAAAAAAGAAATTGTTCTTAGAATGTAAAAATTTTGAATTAAAGAAAAGAGTAAGTCCAGGTGTGGTTAAAATCATATAAGAACAAATTCACCACATGCACTTCTGACAGAAATTAAAAGCAGTTCATAAAACTATTTCCATGAGAACTCAAGCTGGTATTTTAAAAATGCATTTCACTAAAGAAATTATGTATAAAGTGATATTAGTAGTTTTTTAGATTATGAGACTAGCCTACATCTGAATGCCTAAAGTGAATGTCACAGGTCACACCCATCATGAATGTCAAAACACACATTTTCAGACTTCCGGCCAAGATGGAGGAATAGGCAGACACACTGTGCCTCCTTGCACAACCAAAAAAACAACAATTTAAAAACAAAAAAACAACCAGAACTGCCAGAAAATCAAACTGTATGGAAGTTCGACAACCAAGGAGTTAAAGAAGAAACATCCATCCAGACCAGTAGGAGGGGCAGAGTTGGGAAGCTGGGGCAGAGAGGACCTGCAGCAAGGCAGCAGTGCCAGACCCAGCGAGGGGGCGGATTGTGCGTGCAAGGCTGCAGTTGGCAGGCAAGGCAGCAGCAGAACGGGGTCCCACGTTTGCACACAGATAAACCAGGTGAAACAAAGGGGGAGCAGGACAGACTGCACAACCCAAGGCCCCAGCACGGAGCAATAAAGCCTCAAAACACCAACTGAAAACACCTGTGAGGGTCGAGGCCTCAGCTGAAGAAACTCCCAGCCTCACAGGAGAGTTCGTTGGAGAGACCTATGGGGTCCTAGAACGTACACAAGCCCACCCACCTGGGAATCAGCACCAGAAGGTCCCAATTTGCTTGTGGGAAGCAAGGAAGTGACTAAAATCCGGCAGACAGCAGAGCAAGCGCCATTGTTCCCTCTCGGACCCCTCCCGCACACACAGCGTCACAACACTGCTACCTTGGTTGTCCCACCCTGGTGAATACCTAAGGCTCCGCCCCTCACTACATAGCAGGCGCATCAAGACCAAAAAAAAAAAAAAAATGGCCCAAATGAAAGAACAGATCAAAGCTCCAGAAAAAAATACAACTAAGCGACGAAGAGAGAGCCAACCTATCAGATGCACAATTCAAAACACTGGCAATCAGGATGCTCACAAAATTGGCTGAATTTGGTTGCAAATAGATGAAAAAATGAAGGCTACACTAAGAGAAATAAAGGAAAATGTACAGGGAATCAATAGTGATGGGAAGGAAACTGGGACTCAAATCAATGGAGTGGACTAGAAGGAAGAAAGAAACAGTCAACCAGAACAGAATGAAGAAACAACAATTCAAAAAAGTGAGGAGAGGCTTAGGAACCTCCAGCACATCTTTAAACATTCCAACATCCAAATTACAGGGGTAACAGAAGGAAAAGAGGAAGAGCAACCAGTGGAAAAGTTATTTGAACAAATAATAAAGGAGAACTTCCCCATTCTGGCAAAGGAAATAGACTTCCAGGAAGTCCAGGAAGCTCAGAGAGTCCCAAAGAAGTTGGACCCAAAAAGGAACATGGCAAGACACATTATGATTACATTACCCAAGATTAAAGATAAGGAGAGAATCCTAGAAGCAGCAAGAGAAAAGGAGGCAATTACCTACAAAGGAGTTCCCATCAGACTGTCAGCTGATTTCTCAAAAGAAACCTATAGGCAAGAAAGGGCTGGAAAGAAGTATTCCAAGTCATGAAAAGCAAGGACCTACATTCAAGATTGTTCTATCCAGCAAAGCTATCATTTAGAATGGCAGGGCAGATAAAGTGCTTCCCAGATAAGGTCAAGTTAAAGGAGTTCATCATCACCAAACCCTTATTATATGAAATGTTAAAGTGACTTATCTAAGAAAAAGAAGATAAAAAACATGTATAGTAAAATGACAGCAAACTCACAGTTATTAACAACCACACCTAAACCAATAATAAAAACAAACTAAACAAACAAGTAGAACAGGAACAGAACCACAGAAATGGAGATCACATGGAGGGTTATCAACAGGGGAGTGGAAGGAGGAGACAGGGGGAAAAGGTACAGAGAATAAGTAGCATAGATGGTAGGTAGAAAATAGGAGGAGGAGGGGGATTAAGAATAGTATGGGTAGCCCTGGCTGGCGTAGCTCAGTGGATTGAGCTCAGGCTGTGAACCAAAGTGTCACAGGTTCGATTCCCAGTGAGGGTACATGCCTGGGTTGTAGGCCATGACCCCCGGCAACCGCACATTGATGTTTCTCTCTCTCTTTCTGCCTCCCTTCCCTCTCTAAAAATGAATAAATAAAATCTTAAAAAAAAAAAGAAAAGAATAGTATGGGTAATGTAGAAGCCAAAGAACTTATTTATATGTATGACCCACGGACATGAACTGAAGGGAGGGAATGTGGGTGGGAGGGGTTGTGCAGGGTGGAGGGGAGTGAAGGGGGGAAAATGGGACAACTGTAATAGCATGATCAATAAAATATATTTTAAAAAAAAGAATAGTATAGGAAGTGGAGAAGCCAAAGAACTTATGCACACAACCCATGGACATGAACTAAGAGTGCGGGGATTGCTGGATGAAAGAGGGGAACCAGGCGGAGGGAGGCAAAGGGGAAAAAAATGGGACAACTGTAATAGCATAACCAATAAAATATATTTTAAAAAATATCTTTCAAAAAAAACACACACATTTTCATGTTCAAAGATGGCTGTTCAAAATATGTTCAAGTATCCACATGGGAGCCTCAGCAGCTTAAAAAAAGCAGATTTCCCTTTTTTTCATAAATAATTCAATTTCCTGATAAAATAAAAACCAGAACTACAACCAGACATGTAATTTTCATTCATTTACTTAAACAACACTTCCTGAACCTTCCCTAAAGATCAGACAATGCAGTAGGCCCCAGGAATAATAGACAGGAAGGAATACATGCAGACTGCCACTGTTAAAATGAACACAGACAATAGACAGTGATTGTTCTTGTGATTTTCCAGTCCTTCTAAATATATTCCTTCTTGAATCAGCTTCCTTCAGATTTTGGTCTGGTTACCTGTTTATCAAGTAATCATTTTCTCAATAGTAATAGGAAAATTTTATCATTATGACTAAGTCAGTGAAGTTGACTTCAACTTAGTTTTACTGTCACAAATGATGCCTAACTAGATGAAGCCACAGGTTAGCATCAAGAAAGCATAAAAGCAGAACTTATTGGGAGACACTTATGTACAGTACCTTAAAACACCACAAGACAGCATGCTCCTTGTTTGGAACTGTGGTTAGAGTCATGATTTTAAGTGACACATAAAAACTTAACTCATTAGACCTGGCCAGTGTGGCTCAGTTGGTTAGAGCAGCATCCCTTACACCAAAAGGTTGGGGGTTTGATGCCCAGTCAGGGCACATACCTAGATTGTAGGTCTGATCCACAGTTGCACACATGGGAGGCAACCAATTAATGTTTCTCTCTTTCTCCCTTCATTTCTCTCTAAAATCAATAAACATATTTTTAAATATTTTTTTTAAAAATTGACTGACTAGACCTTATTGTTTATAAACTAAAATTTAATTATAAGCATGATAACAATATATAAATACTAATGTCTGATCTTGATGAAGTTATTCTTTCACCTGAATGTATAAACTATACCTTTCCTACTAATTGCAATAGTAAATTTCTCCCTTCATGTAGGTGTGCAATACCTAGGGCACAGATGGCAAACACAAGGTCCACAGGCCAAATCCGGCCCTCCACCTTGTTTTATCTGACCCGGCACCTTGTTTCTACCCAGCAGCAGCACCAAGTTCTCGCTTAACTGTTAAGGAGTAGTTACATTTATACAGTCCTAAAATTACACTCGGCTCTTGGAAGGCAATCACGAAGCTGATGTGGCCCCCAGTGAAAATGAGTTTGACACCCCTGATCCTAGGATGAGGTAAAAATAAAGTATAAGCAATCTGACATATTACTACAGCCCATGAATGATACTGCTCTCATTTTCCTAACCTACTCCTATTTTCTACTCCTTCCTACCCTAATTTTGAGAAAAAGAAGCTCCAGTACTCACAGAGCAGTGCTGACATGAATATTTACAACTATAAACTAGTGCAGAGAGATCTTCCTACCTGGTAGTACAGCAGGGGGAAAAAAGAGTGGTCCACAGAAAAGGAAATTAAGCAACTGAAAACAGAAACTTTGACATCAGACAAGAAGTGGGTTCATATCCTGCATTCAGCATTGTAACCATGGTCAGTTTTTTAAATCTGCTTCAGCCTGAGTTTCTTCAAAAATAAGACACCAGCACATAATAGCCTTTTGTTGTTGTTGCTCTGCTATGAGTAAAAGGACACTAGATTTGGAGTTAAAAGGCATGGTTTCAAGTTCAACTTATATTCCCATATTATATGACATCAGGGAAACAATATAACCTCTGTGAGCCTCAGTTTCTTTCAGTTACAAAAAATATGGATGAAAGTATTTGCTTTCTCATATTGAGGACTATCTAAGCAAAGAAAATGGTTTCTATAAAAAACTGTTCTAATGTATAAAGAGTTTTTATAAATATATTTTACTGATAAAATAATCTTCTTAGAAAGCAGAATCTAAAGGAAGAAAAAATGCAAATAACAGCATGCCCATAAATATCTAGGGGAGTAAAATGGAGTAAGTATTTATTAACTTTCAATTTGTTGGTTATAATCTTTCTGCAACCTAAAAAAAGAAACCCATCATATCATGAGGAAGAAGGTGATAATACCCTTATAAATAAAGTATTGTAGAAAGAAAGCCAGAAGCAACAATTACTTGCCATATATAACTCCTTATTTATGCCAAGATACTTTCCGTTTCCACACCCAATATCAGCTACTAATGAACCACGTGGCAAAGCTTTCAAAAACTCCACAATGTGTGGCCAAGGAGTATGTCTTGTGCTGCTGAAGTGTCCCGCGATCTCTTCATACACTCGATGGACGTATTCTTGCTCCAATTGTGAGGCTTCTTTATCATTCTCTGGAAATGATGGAGGAGGCTCCTTCTTCTGGCTGTCACAAACCAAAGGGTAACCTAATGAAAAAATAGGCAATATAAACCTTTTATTTTTATCCAACTGATCCAGAAGGTCTTATGCTTTCTTAAAAAGAAAAACAATTTAAATTTGGTGACTAGGGATAAGAAGCCTATAATTCATCAGTGAAAAAATAGCTATTACCTAGCAAGTCTAATAATTATATGCATGATGGATGTAATAGAAAAAGAAGGGGGAAAACCCATTTGCAAGAAAACATGACTGCAATTCTGGATGCTTTAAAATGAAGATGCCTATTCATCTTGGCATTAAGGGTCCTCTTACTCAGGAAAACATCTTGATGGGCTAGGCAGAAGCAGAAGAAATTTAGCTACATTAACAAGATTTAGGTTTTTACTCCTGGTGGGTGAAGGAAATAGGACTTTGGGGGCTCTAGGGCTCTTAGAAGAACAAAACCTAGAAGAAACATGTCATTTGGAAATAATCGCAAGTATTTAATAAACACTATATGAAGCAGTTCATATGAATCATCTCAGTTCTCATAGTAACACTATGAGATAGGTACTAATATTACATTCATTTTACAGATGAGAAGCTGAAGCACAGAATATTAAATAATCATCCCATAGTGACAAAGACAATAAATCCTAAAGCCAGGATTCAAACCCAGGCAGTGGAGACTCCGCAACCCACATTCTCAATGACAGCACTGGGTTGCCGCCTTCAGTAGAACGAGCAAATCCTAAGACCACCACCAAGCAGAGGATGTGATGGAGGAGATTTAGTTTACAATGTCTCAAATTAATTTTGAAGTTGTTCCTGCAATAATGGCTAATACTGATTATAAATCCTTGCCTGTTCTCTGCTATGCTATAATTTTCCTTTGTCTTCAAAGTTTGTGACATAACATCTTTTCATGAGTAGTATTCTACCAAGTAAAAGGGTAGTGCTCCCAGAGAAAACCCAGACAAGACCAGGACAACAATTAGAAATAGAACTGGGCTGCAGCATTGATGGCTTCAGAAATTTTCAGTAACTAGAGTATGCTAACCCTGGAGAAAGCCTCAAATGGGTCTGGGGTACCTAGTTCCTACTAATGTAGGAAGTGAAGCTCTAAACATTTTTAAGTAGACATTTAAGAAAAGGGTGGCCCCAGAAAGCCTGAGGACTCTAAAACACAGATGTAAAAACAGATAGGTTACATTATGTTGGTTAAATCAGAATTATAATTACACTACGCTATACCTACAGTTATCCTAAATTGGTCTTAGTAAAATTTTACTATCTTGGAAATTATGAACATCTAAGTTATCTAAAGGAGTAGCAGCCCTTATCATTTAAAGACCCATAAATTTTGACCAAAAGTATCCAAAAGATGAATCTGTAAACTGACTATATATTCAGAGCTTCTTATAGGATCACTTACATTTAATGAATGCCCACAACAAAGAAACATTTGCATAAAAAAACTAGCTTGTCTGTCCAACTAGACTTCAAGTTTCTTGAGATTAAGAGCCATAGTAGAGATTTCAAGTTTTCTAACAGGATAATGTCTTTTAGATATAATAAGGGTGTTTAATTTTAAATGTTTTGAAGATTATGATTAAATCCAAAAAACAAATGATAGATATCTCCCATAATTAAAACCCCTAGCATATAAAAAAAGATCTTATATCACTGTCATTAAAAATATTATTTATAAAATGAAAGGGGTTTTTATTTGAATCTAAGAAACATAGGTCATGACAGTCATGTAGACATCACAATATAACACCCTCCTGACAAAGTGTGGAGTACTTCTTTCACTCCCTCACAAGTTTCCAAGCTGACGGAAGCCGCTGTTTGTCCCCTAGAGTTATCTGCTCACTATAGAACAATCTGTCATCTCTAACTTCCCTTTTGGGTTTATGAAAAGTAATTTAAAAACTTGACAAGCTATTTCCAAGAAAACCTACTTTTGTGATTTTTTTCTAGCTGACACAAAGGCAATTTATCAACAGAAAACAATAAATAAGGAGTCCTGCAATATCTTATAATTGTAGCGTTCTAAACTGTAACTTCAATAAAAAAATATTTATTTGGTATCCAACTATGCTCAAGTACTGTTTGCAGAGAACAAACATAAATAAGATGCAGTCCCTACCTTCAAATAATGTAAACTCTAATGTGGTTATGAAAAGTATATGCAAGAATGTTACCAGGCAAATGTGGGAAATGTCATTAGAGAAATTGAAACAAAGCTCTCCTTGGTTCTGTTGGAACTTTAAAGATTTTCATACTAGATTTATTCCATTTTACAATAGAATCAAAATTATATACTTACTACAGTTACAAGGTGTTTGCCTCACTTTCCTAAATGTGAACGATGTCCGTATTCCCCTCTTGTTTAAAGTTAAGTCTCCAACATCACGGGTGATAATTCCACTTTTGTGACCTCTAGATGCTTGAACAGTATCAAATTTTCTAGGTGTTATTCTAAAATCAACAGTCAAAATAATTTATTTAGCATTGCATTCATAAAAATATTTCAGGTCCCTTAAAAACATTAAATAGAGATCTAGAAGAACATATTACAAATAATTATTGGATTCCCTGAATTGTTAAGCACAGCAGAAAAAAACAAAGAAATAGAAGTCTCTTATCTTTGAAGAATTTATCTTCAGGATAATCATGTTAAAAGAGATAATCATATTAAAATAATCCAGCTAATGAATTATTCAAGAGGGAAAAATGGAATAACAAATATTTAATTAATACCAATTCCAAGAAGGAGAAAAAAATGGAACAATGGGGAAAAAAGGAAACAAATACATGGCAAATTTAAATCCAGTATCAGTAATTATGTTAAATGTACAAGGACTAAAAGTCCAATTAAAGAACAAAGGTTTTCAGACCAGATTGAAAAAAACAAAATCCAACTATATTACAAAAGACACACCTTAAATATGAGGACAGAAAATAGTTGAAAATAAAAACACAGAAAAAATACAAAAAGAAAAACAAATAAATCTTATACATGACAAGCAAAATCAAAAGAAAAATGGCATAGCTCAATCAAAGTAGACTTTAAGGCAATAAGTATTACTAGAAATAAAAAAGGGTATTTCATAATGGTAACAGGGTTAATTCAACAGAAACATAGAAAAGCCCTATATTTTTGTATATACCTAACTAATAACACAGACACAAAATAAAGGAAAAAATGAAAAAAATCTAACAGAAATAGACTACTATATAATCATCATTGGAGTTTCAAATACAACTTTCCTAACACATGAAATGAAGGGTCAAGGACATCAACATCAGAAAACAACAGATAATAGAACAAAAGAGTGCATGATTAACTTTTAAATTTTTAAAAAAACAAAGATTAAAAAATAAAAAGAGAGAAGTATAAGCCATTGTGGATTGTTCAGAAAGTTTAAAGGGGGTCTTTGGACCAAGAGATTTTCGAATGGAAAAAAGGAGTGATCTGGTGAAGAAACGTGGCCCTTTTAAAGTTACATTCACAGTGAGTGAAATGCACAGATCTTAAGTGTACAGTGTGATGGCTTTTGACAACTGTATACAACCATGAAACCACAACCTCAATCAAAATACAGAGCATTCCATCACCCAAGAAAACTCCTCTGTGACCCTTCTGGTCAATTTTTGCCCACCTATGAGGCTAATGAGCTTATTAGCCACTCATAGACCTTTTTGTGTGTGTGTAGGATCTGTTCAAATCTTATGCCCAATCTTTGTTAGATATTTGTATTATGGATATTCTCTCCTCACATGTAGCTTGCCTTTTCATTTACTTAATGATATCTTTTGAAGAGTGAAGTTTTTAATGTTGATGCACTTATTTTATCTTTTTTTTTTTACAGTAACTGTGTTTTGATACCTTTCTAAGAAAAACTTTGCCTGCCTCAAGGTTACAAAAATATCATCTTGTATTTTAGATATCTAATAGTTTTTGCTTTTACACTTAAATTTATGATGACCTCATATTAATTTTTGTGAATGGGGTGAGGTACACTAAGCTTCATTTTATTTCCACATGAACATCCAATTGTCTCAGCACCATCTGTTGAAAATTGTCCTTTTCACACTGAATTGCGCTGGTGTCTTTGTCAAAAAACAACTCATTATATGTATAGATGTAATATGTCTCATTGGTCTATTTTTGTATACTCTTTTGATTATAGAGCTTTATAGAAAGTCTTAAAACTCAAGAAGAATAAATCCTCCAATATAGTTCTTCTATTTCAAGATTATTTTGATTATTCTAGATCCCTCACATTTTTTTTATAAATTTCAGAATCTGCTTATTAATTTCTACCAAAAAAAGACCTTTAAGATTCTGACTGGAATTACACTATATAATTAGATCAGCCCTGGCTGGTATAACTCAGAGGACTGAGTGTGGGCTGTGAATCAAAAAGTCCTCATTTGAGTCCTAGTCAGGGCATATGCTTGGGTTGCAGGCCAGGTCCCTGGTGGGAGCCATGTGACTGGCTACCACACATTGTTTCTTTCCCTCTTTTTATCCCTCCCTTCCCCCCTCTCTAAACATAAATAAATAAATCTTTAAAAAAAACTAGATCTGAGGTCTAATGATATCTTAATAATAATCAGTTTCCTATCCATGATCATGGCATCTCAATGTGTGCATTTGTTTTGGTTTTAATTTCTGTCAATGATATTTCATGATTTTCAGTGTATATGCATTGCATATCTTTTGTTAAATTTGTTCCTAAGATTTAAATCTGAGGCTAAGAGGATTTCCAGCCAAGATGGAGGCATAGGTAGACATACTGTGCCTCCTTGCACAACCAAAAGAAGAACACCAAATTTAAAAACAAAAGATAACCAGAACTGACAGAGAATCGAACTATATGGAAGTCCAAAAACCAGGAGTTAAAGAAACACTCACCCAGAAGAAACATTCACCCAGAAAGGTAGGAGGGGCGGACACTGGCAGTGGGGCAGAGAGGACTCACTGTGGGGCAGGTGCTGGAAGACCAGGGTGGGCAAGGCGGTGGCTGGCAGACCCAGTGAGGTGGCAGCTGGTGGACTGGGTGGTTCCACATTTTCATACAGATAGACATGAGAAGTAACTGGGGAACGAGACAGACCACCCAACCCTGGATTCTAGTTCAGGGAAATAAAGCCTCAAAATCTCTGACTGAAAACACCCATGGGGATTGAAGCAGCAGTGGGAGAAACTGAAACTCCCAGCCTCACAAGAGAGTTCGTTGGAGAGACCTACAAGGGTCCTAGAACATACACAAACCCACCCACCTGGAAATCAGCACCAGAAGGGCCCAATTTGATTGTGGGTAGTGGGGGAAGTGACTGAAAACCAGCAGAGAGTGGAGCAAGTGGTGGTGTTCCCTCTCAGGTCCCTCCCCCACATACAAAGTCACAACACAACTACAGTGGTTGGCCTGCCCTGGTGAACACCTAAGGCTCTGCTCTTTACTACGTAACAGGCATGCCCAGAAGAAAAGAAAATGGCCCAAATGAAAGAATAGTTCAAAGCTCCAGAAAAAATACAACTAAGCGGCAAAGAGATAGCCAACCTATCAGATGCAGAGTTCAAAGCACTGGTTATCAGGATGCTCCAGGAACTCACTTGGTACTTCAACAGCATAAAAAAGGCCCAGGCAGCAATGAAGGCTGCATTATGTGAAATAAAGAAAAATCTAAAGGGAACCAATAGTGGCAGGAAGGAAACCAGGATTCAAATCAACAGTTGGAGCAGAAGGAAGAAAGAATCATTCAACAAGAACAAAATGAAGAAACAAGAATTCAAAAAAATGAGGAGAGACTGAGGAACCTCCAGGACAACTTTAAATGTTCCAACATCTGAATCATAGGGGTACCAGAAAGAGAAGAGGAAGAGCAAGAAATTGAAAACTTATTTGAACAAATAATGAAGGAGAACTTCCCCAAGCTGGCAAATGAAATACACTTCCAGGAAGTCCAAGAAGCTCAGAGAGTCCCAAAGAAGTTGAACCCAAGGAAGCACACACCAAGGCATATCATAATTACATTAGCCAAGATTAAAGATAAGGAGAGAATCTTAAAAGCAGCAAGAGAAATGAAGACAGTTACCTACAAAGGAGTTCCCATAAAACTATCAGCTGATATCTCAAAAGAAAACTTACAGGCAAGAAGGGGCTGGAAAGAAGTATTCCAAGTCATGAAAGGCAAGGACCTACATCCAAGATTACACTATCCAGCAAAGCTATCATTTAGAATGGAAGGGCAGATGAAGTGCTTCCCAGATAAGGTCAAGTTAAAGGAGTTCATCATCACCAAACCCTTATTATATGAAATGTTAAAGGGACTTATCTAAGAAAAAGAAGATAAAAAATATAAACAGTAACATGACCACAAACTCACAGCTATTAACAACCAAAGCTAAAAAACAAACAAAAACAAACTAAGCAAACAACTAGAACGGGAACAAAATCACAAAAATGAGATCACATGGAGGGTTATTAGTGGTAGAGTGGATAGAGGAGAGAGGGAAAAGGTACAGAGAATAAGTAGCATAAATGGTAGGTAGAAAATAGACAGGGGGAGGTTAAGAACAATATAGGAAATGTAGAAGCCAAAGAACTTATATGTACGTCCCACAGTCATGAACTAAAGGGGGGAAATGCATGGGAGGGGGTGTGCAGGGTGGAGGGGAATAAAGAGGGGTAATGAGACAACTGTAATAGCATAACCAATAAAATATATTAAAAATAAATAAATAAATCTGAGGCCAAGTATTCTGTTTTATTTACCCTACAGAAGGGGATTTCATATTCACAGAAATTCTGCTAACCCTGAAAAATCTCACAAATTAGAAAAAGGTGTAATTTTATTCTCAAGTTGTTGATATCTCTTTATTAAGAGACAAATAAGTTTTTCTAACATTCAGAATAAAGTCAACCACATAATTAAAATAAATTTGATCCTATAATAAAATATGTAGTGTATTTCAATTCTCAATTTTAATTTTGTCAATATTATGCTATTTCACTCAATCTGTGGTTAGAATAAGAGATCCCAAGAGGCAACAAAAGCAAAAACAAACAAGTGGGCTACATCAAACTAAAAAGCTTCTGCATAACCAAGAAAACCATCAACAAAATAAAAGTCAACCTATGGAATAGGTGAAAGTATTTGTAAATTACATATCTGATAAGGAGTTAATATCCAAAATACATAAAGAATTCAAACAAGTGAAAGGCAAAAAGTATCACCCCAATCTGATTTTAAAATGGGCAGAGATTCTGAATAGATGTCCCAAAGAGGACACGCACATGGTTAACGGGTACATGAAAAGGTGCTCAACATCACTAAACATCAGAGAATTTTAAATCAAAGCCACAATGAGTATCACCTTATATCTGTTAGGATGGCTATTATTGAAAAGACAAGAAATAACAAGTGTTGGCAAGGATGTGAAGGAAAAAAAAAGCCTTGTTCAAAGC